CAAAAATGAAGTTCTTTTGAAGTTGAAAGAATAAAGGGATAACCGATGATGCAAAAAAAATGTCAAAGATAATGAAATATTCTTTCAATTTCAATGCCTTTTTAACTAGAGTGGCTAATTCCAAGTCATTTAAAAGACTTGAGGTAATTAGTTCAAAATAGGCTAAATGGCACTCAAATACCCTATTGTTTCATCATCATGTCAACTCGACACCATAAGTTGTAAAAAATACCACTTTGATACATTAATTTACAAAACAAAAAGTAATACTTTAATGCCATAAGTTGCTAAAAATTGGCACTTAAATACCATATTATTTTATTATTTTTACACTTAAATATTTAAAATTGTAAAAAACAGCACTTAAACCTAAGTTGTAGAAAGCAGTACTTTAACATCTTAAGTTGTAAGAAAGTAACATTTTAATATCTTCCGTTAGTTGTAAGATCATATTCCTAAGAATATTTCCATAATAACTAACTAACAGAAGGCAGTAACGTATTGATTTTTTACAGCTTAGGATATCAATTTGCTAATTTTTACAAAACTCAGATTATATACAAGAGTGAAGGCGGTGAAACAATAACGTATTTAAGTGCCATTTTAGCCTAACTTAGATTATATATAAGACTATCTCCAGCAGGTGGGTTTTGGGGGGTTTTTTTGCTCCAGCAGGTGGGCTTTTGGGAGGTGAAATGAAAAATCGGTTTCGGATGGGTGAAAATTTCACCTCCGGCTTTTGCGGGGTGAAATTAATTGAGCTCATGTATCAAGCCATGTGTCAAGGCTTGATTGGTTGGAGTTTTTTGTTTTACTCCTAATTTTTAAATGATATTTTGGGAGATAAATACTAGGAATTAATTTATAATTTTTATATCAATAATTTTTATTTTTTCACCTCTATAAATAGAGATTAGTCTTGTGTAATTTGGACACAAAAAAAAATCTGAGTTTTCAACACATTATATCAATTAATAATATATATTATTTATGTAAATATTAAAAAATTATAATTATAAATAAATGAGTTATATTAGTAATAATAATAGTAGTAGTAGTAATATATATGAAATAAGAAAAAGAAATGAATAAATAAGGTGGGGTATATATCACCTATCTGCGAGTTGAGGGCTCGCGGTTCAACCGCGAGCCAAATAGCTTTTTTGAATAATTTGACCCCCACTGTTTCCCTCTGCGAGTTGCTGGCTCGCGGTCCAACAGCGAGCCAAAAAACTTTTTCGTCCCAGATATGAAGACCCGGCGGACTAAGTTCATAATATTGAAACAGTGAGTGGGGTTAAAATCGGAATAAGATTTGGTGGGCTAAAAATTTCCAGGAAGAGAAAGAGTTATGACAGAGTGACGACAGGCTACTTCCTCTCTATAAATAATAATTAAATATCACCTCTCTCTCTCTCTCTCCGAATACCCTCGTTGATTTCTTCTCTCTTCTGAATTTCCTCTTCGATCCCCCCTCTATCTCTCTCTTAATCATCAGCCATGGCGTCTCTAGACACCGACATCAACATGGTCCCCGCTGGCGAGGGGTCGAGCGCCGCCGCCACCGCCACCGCCACCGCCGG